AAAACAAAGATGTGCAGTGTTTGTTCATAACGAGAGAAAAAAACAACAAACGTCTCTACAGCAGCCGTTTCCGGAGGATTTCATCTTGTTTTGACCTAAATGTACGGCCGAAAAGCTCATAATCAAATGTTAAATTGTGCCAAAACGTAAACATAAATTTCTAATGATAAAGGATATATTTCGGAAATGCTCTTCCATACAAAACGACACTGCAAACAGGAGTATTAATGAAATAAAACATATTTTGTGTTCGCTTGAAAAAACGAAAAAAAATCAATGATTGTCGGCGTCTGAACGCAGGTCGTTAGTTTTCGTTAAAGCCAAAACTCGAACTGGGCGACGGTCCCTGGCTGACCAGGGGGCGGAGCTGTCGGGCCGGCGGAGGGAAAAACTCTGCTTGAGTTTCCGCATATTTGAACCCACGTGACAAGTCTCAGTTTTGGCGGGGTTTGTGTCACGTGTAGTGCACATGCGCAGCTCTGGGACAAAGTCAGAAACTGTGTTCAGTATTTACAGAAGCGGGTAAGTCATTAACTCTGTTTGCCACACAGTCTAACCCCGAGACACAGCGGGCAGCAGCGGTCGCTATCTCTCCGCCTCAGTCTCACCATGCTCGGCCTACGAATGTGGACACGCACCGTTCCCCTGGTGGGCAGAGGAGCGTGGAACCGAGAACAAATTCATACTAGCACTGCTACAAGAAGCCAGCCAGGAAGGCTGAACCTCAGCGGCATATACCCACCAATCGCTACCCCATTCACCGCAAAGGAGGACGTGGATTACTGCCGCCTGGCGGAGAACCTGCAGAAGTACGCCAAAATGCCTTTCAGAGGTTAGAGCCTGAAACAGGTTTTTTTTAAAAAAAGAAACACAAACAAACTGTAAACTTACACGAACTGAGAGAACGAGTTGGCTTCAAGTTTTGAATTTGTGTACAAATACACAGAACACTAAAAAGTAATTATATAAAAATGTATATTTTTTTATTAATTAAATGTATTTATTTATATACAAAAGTTTGACATGGGAATTATATAAAAATGTATATTTTTTATTAATTAAATTTATTTATTTATATACAAAAGTTTGACATAGTAAACTATTGGTGAATCCAGGGTTAGAAGGAGTACAGTTCCACATATTATCCATGATTAAAACAGTAATAATGTTGAATATAGTGGTGTTCAAAGTGTCCATAAAATAAAGAAAAGTACAGATAAAAAAACGGGTATTTCTTCTTAGAGGATCTGCAGTATTTCTAAATGCAAAAAAAAGCACATTAAAGTTTGATCATTTTGTCACATTTTCTGTTCTTCCTTATTGTGACTAGACGTTAGACGAGGAGTTCAGGCAGGAAAAGCACATGATGCACCGTGTTAAATATGAATTAATATTCTTTGAGAGTGTAACTGACACCAGTTTTCTTTTTTTTAAGCGGAAAGTCAAACCCTCCAACTTTGTTAAATATTTAGTTTGAGACGTGGTGCCACGCAGAGTTGAGATAAGCGTTCCGTTAACCATTAAATTTCACAAGCTGCAGGAGGTTATTTTCCCAAAGGGAACTCCAGGGGGTGAATAATGTTCTACCTTCATAGCTACAGTATCTAAGGTGACACCAGTATCGTCTAGAATTCTGGTATTTTGAAAAAAAATATATATATATTGAAGGCACATGGTTTTCTCCCTGACGTGGCTCAGAATGTCAGCCGTTCTGTGTTGCAGGTCTGGTGGTTCAGGGCTCCAACGGCGAGTATCCGTACCTGACGGAGGAGGAGCGCGTGGAGGTGGTGCGGGTCGTCAGACGCTCTCTGCAGCCCGAGAAACTGCTGATGGCTGGATCCGGCTGTGAATGTAGGGCCCACTGTTAACGTGTGTGTGTGTTTTTGTGTCTTTTTCATCCGTTTCTATTTGAGAGGCCTCCGCAGAACGACAAGATGAAAATGGTCAACCACTTCTCTTGGTTCTTTTTGTGACTTTTATACATGTTTTTTGTTAACTCCACCTTTTCTACACACACTGTATAAAAACTGAAGCCAAGGTTATTTTGTGTCTCAGGCTGGAGAATTAAAATGTGATGAAGTGAAGGCCTTGGTGAGAAAAGAGAAACAAGGGTGTTTGAGCACACGTACGATTAAATTTTTTTAAAAAAAGGAAAAAAAGTTAGCTATAGAAATGCATTGAATGGGGAGAGTGAAAAGAGACCAAAACAGAAAAGAAAAAAAAAGATTCCGTGCAGTTTTAACCTCCGTCTTTCAAACTCTCGTCTGAATGAAAGGTTTTTGAGGAATGTGTTAACGGTGGCAGATGAAACTTGAGTGTGTGTGTTTGTTAAAAGGTGTTTCTCCTTTGTCCGCTCAGCCACCGCAGCCACCGTGCAGCTCACTGAGAAGATGGCAGCAGCTGGAGCCGACGCCGCTCTGGTGGTGACCCCCTGCTTTTACAAGGGCAAGATGAAGAGCGGCGCTCTTATCCAGCACTACACCAAGGTAACATCTGTAACGACGAGGTCCAGGTTAAGGAATGCTTTTGCCACGGAATATATTGAGCAGTGTTTGTACGAACAGCACAAGTCTTTTATTTAAATTAAAAAAAAAAAGCTGCCTTTAAAGCTTTTTAAAGTGTTCATTAATTTTTCATTTTCTTGATAAAAATACTGTAGCACATAGGAGTCTTTACCCTTTTTTTTATACAAACATGAATCACATTTAGCCTTAATATATTAACATCTATTCAGTAAATATTCACAAATGCATATCATTAAAGATAGAGAGAAAGAAAGAGAATTTGATTTCACTTTGGGAAATTAAGGAAATTTATACCAAACTATTGAAAATAGTTTAAGTTTTTAAATCTTTCATAAGTAGCTGTGGATTAATCAGAATTAATTCTGGGTAATTGAGATAAAAAAATAAATTCTAAAAATGACAAAAAAGACAATGTTTTCCATGAATAAGTATAATTTTTGCTAATAACCTGGGTGAAGGTTTGAAGTTAGAAATTGAAACAGAAAGACAAGAAACTGAACTTTGTTTTTCTTTGTGATTCTAATTAAAGTAGTGAAATTATTAATACTGAAAAATGTGACAAAAATGTGCAAACAATAATTTAACATTTTGATATCTGACCACAAGGGTCCGCTCATGTGCAAGTTTTGAAAATTCTAAATAATTTCACAAATTAATTATTGTTTACATGTTCATTTTGACAAACCTAATTAATTTGTCTTTTAGGACAATTTTGCACGTTGTCGCCATAAAGGGTTAATTAACTCATTTACATTTGGCTGTCAATCATCTTTGTGTGTCAAAAACAACATGTTTTATTTTGGTTAGTTGCACCGAGAGCTGAGTCTTCCTCTAAATTAATCTTAATCTTTTTTTCACTTTTAACAATACAATGTGAAAATAGTCTTAAAGTAGAAGGTAGTTTTAAACTTTTTTTTTTTAAATAGCCGGGATGTAACATTTGAGTGTTTCTATGGAAATGTTGCCGATCGTATAAAAAGTTGCTGGACTCATGTGGACGTGTCTTTGCTGTGTCCCTGCAGGTGGCTGATAACAGTCCACTTCCTGTGGTGCTCTACAGCGTTCCTGCCAACACCGGCGTGGATCTGCCCCTAGAGGCCGTCGTGCAGCTGTCGCAGCATCCGAACATTATTGGCCTGAAGGACAGCGGAGGAGACGTAAGAAAACACTTCACATCTTCATTAAAAAGAAAAAAAAAATCACTGTAACTGTTCCCACGCAGGTGGAGAAACCATACATTAACCTTCGTCTTCGAAAATGTTTAACCTCCCCTTGTTCTGCCTTATCAAACACCTCAACAAATGATGTCATCATTTAACATAATCCAAACAGAGTCAACGTTTTAATTTGCTCTTTGACAGACGGCAGTATTTTTCCTTTTACTCAGTTCTCATCAGTACTGCACAGCTGGGAGTTGGTGGAGAGCAGACTTGGAACCATTTCAATTATTTAACATGTGAATATATGGGGTTGATTGAAGGGTAAATTGTTGGAAAGGAAAAGCGCAGCTCCCAATTCTGTTTTTTTTTTTTTGTGTGTGTGTGTGGGAAGTGTGTGTGCGGGAGAAGTTGCAGATATATTTCTGATTCAGGAAACATCATGTTTGTCCACTAGCTGCAAGACAGGAGCGTGGGCGTAGTTCGAGCCCGGCGTGGTCCTCCTCGGTCTGTGGGCGTGAAGACATCACACACGGAAAACAAGGGGTCAGGGGTCAATTTGAGAGCGGCAGACAAGTAGCAGACGGTTTATTCGGAACATAAATGGACGAGACAGACATTTTATCACCGTGAAAAAAACAAAAACGAAATGTCTCGGTTCACTTGACGAATATGATGAAAAATACGGCAGTTTAAAACCGGTTTAAAGTCAATTTAAAATCCTTAAATACAATACATGCTAAATGCTTATATGATATTTATATATTACATATATAAATATCACAAGTTGCGTTCAGGTACAATCAGAAACTTGAGAATCCCACCACTGAGACTGTTTACGTGTTGTGAACAGTCTATAAACAATAATTAGCTTCATGGTTTTGCATATTTTTTTTCTCATCTTCCTTCAAATTATTCTGAGGCCCACCCAGCGCCCCCTGGTGGCCCCCACCTCGAAAAACACTGAGCAGTATTTTTTTTCTTTTTTTTTTTTTGCTTCAATAGTGTTTGTAGTTTAGTCAGGTTCAGTGTTTGCTCAGAATTTACATTTTTTTACAGTTATAGTGATAAAACTCGTTAAAGTTGTTGGACCCGTTTGTGTTATTAAAACTCTGGCTCTTCTGTCTTGGTACTTTTTGACCTTTAGAGTACATGGACTGGCCTTCGGTCCATGAGTATTATTTGGTTCCACCAGGTATTTGACTATACTGCAGTAATCTGCAGTTTCTCTCCACTGATGTCATTCTATAAAGTACTGGGTGAAAAACAGAGGCAGAGAAACACGTGGATCCATTTATGTTTCTCGATGTTTCTATTTTCAGCTTTTAATGCTTCCTGACATGTTTGATTGTAGCTTTTTTTTTTTTCTTTTTAATCCCCGTCAGAAGAGCGAAGTGTTGATGATCAGTGGAGAACGACAGCGGTCGGATGTGACAGTCGTTGGACTGTAAACTTTGTGAAATAATCAAAATGAAGCTGCTGTTTTTACTAACAACAACAACAACAAACTGGATGATTTATACAGGGAGACACACGTGACGTAAACCTTCACAAACGTCTCAGACCGTCGTCGTCCGCCCGTCGTTACTAATCCTGATTGTCGTCTACCTAAAATGTCGTATTTTTCTTCTCCAATTAGAGAGAATTAAATGTTCATCTCATCACCAGTCCTCAGCTCCAGCCTGACTTCGATCCTCTGTCAGGTTCCTGTTCTTGTCGGCGTCATTTTAGGTTCAATCAAACCGATTTGCTGCAGTTTCTGTGTTGGTGAAACTGGTAAATACAGTGACAGTGACCCCTGTGGCAGGTCATGGGACTTCTTCTTGAGTGGTTTGCTCAAAAGTATCTTAAAAGACAGCTCCTTTACCCAGAGTTTGACATCACTACTCCTCCCTCTAGTGGACTGGTGCCTTTTTTTAGTTTCTTCTCGACGTAAGCAGTTGTCACCAGTGTTTGAAGGTTGATCTTTACGCTGATGATGACGTGATGATGCTTAGGAAAACGGTCAATATCAGCACTTCCTGTCATTCTTTGGCAGCTCTGATGTGGCCCATACGGGGGCCTGGTACTCCTGCCTTATTATTGGACGATTACTGGTCTATTTTAGTGTGGACTCACGGGCTACAGGCTCGGTTTGGGAGAACTCTGAATTAACCAAAGGTGTGAATGTCTCTGGGTTTAACTGAATGACGACTGCTGGGATTGGCTGCAGCTCCACCTTTCATTATTCCATAATTTTAATTTTATTTTTTTCCAAACGCTTCATGACTAAGACGCTACTTTCCGTTGAATATTTCACAGAACTCACTTGGCAGCTATCACAGAGACTAAACAGTTTGAACGACTCATTTTCACTTGAATGTTTTTGTGTTTGATGTGTCAAACGAGGAGCAGAAGTAGGTAAAATGCTGCAGGTTAGACTTTTCAGGAGGAGCACACACACACACACACACACACACACACACACACACAGAGGTGTGGCAGGTTGCCAGAAATCAATCGAGGTAAATTTGACACTTTTTTTTTTCATAAACGACTTGGTTAATTAGCTCTAAATTATCATAATTGGCAGTTTTAAAACACACCCACCGGCAGCAGCAGCAGTAGCAGTAGCAGCAGCAGCAGCAGTAACAGCAGCAGCAGCAGCAGTAGCAGCAGCAGCAGCAGGAACAGCACCTGCACTCACACCAACTGTAACGCCGTGAAACTTAAAGGTCAAATCTATTTTTTTTATGTAAAAATGCTGGGTTAACAGATACAAAGATATGAATTTGTCATTCACTCCAGTTCATTTTGATTTATTAATTTATCTCATGTGTTTGCTTAGCTTGGTTGGGCTAATCGCTACCCGTTAGCATACTGAGAATGATGTGAAATTTAAAGTGGAGTTTGCGATTTTGCTCCTGAAAAAGTTGAAAAAGGATTTTTTTAAAAACTAATTTTTCCAAAAATAATTTCAAAAAAAATTTTAAAAAAAAATTTCCAAGAAAATGTTTTCAAAATGTTTAAACAAAATTAAAAAAAAAAATTCTAAAAAAAATTCAAAAAAAAGTTTTCAAGAATTTTTTTTAAAAAGATTTTAACCAAAATTTTTCAAAAACTGACCAATTGTGAATGACCAAAGAATGGACAGGATCAGGAATTAGAGGTCGTTAGAGGGACAACACAGACAGGAAGGGTTGGAGAAAAAGCTAGAGAAGCCTGATTGAGATGGTTTGGACATGTGCAGAGGAGGGACAGTGGATACATTGGGAGAAGAATGTTAGGGATGGAGCTACCAGGTAGGAGAAAGAGAGGAAGGTCAAAGAGGAGATATATGGATGCAGTGAGGGAGGACATGCAGATAGTTGGAGTCAGAGTAGGAGATACAGAGAACAGGGAGAGATGGAAATCAATGATCTGCTGTAGCAACTCCTGAAAAAAAAAAGGGACAAAGCTGAAAGAAAAAGAAGAAAGAATTGTTTTTAATTCCTCCTGTTGTGATACTGTTGTGATACGGCTCACGAGCCAGTTTAAAGAAATGCAGCTGAGGTTTATCTGAGAGCCTGATACAGTCATCAAAAGAGCCACATCCGGCTCACGAGCCATAGGTTCATCCCCCGGTATAGACAGAACAGTGTGATTTATAGTTGTGGGCATTTGTTTTATCACAGTTTAGAGTTTTTCATCATAGAACGATAAAGTTTGATTTAAAGTTTGATTTAAAAAAAAAACCCTCAAACCTCAGAGGGTTAAAGTTCCCCGCGACGTTGAGTTCCATACTTCAGGCTAATGGCGATAATGACACTTTTAAAATAAAATAAAAATAACACCTTAGTGTTATTGTGAGCGAGTGTTTTTTCCTGTCACCGGGGCCAGACAGGAGTCGTGGCTGCAGCATTATTTCTCCCACTGGGGGGGCTGTATTTAAAAAGCCCGGTCGCTCCAGCTTGGAGGAGCGCAGCAGGAGCTCCTATAACCTGATTGACTGACTGATCAATTACAGTCCTGCGTGACTTATACAGGAAAACTGACTGACTGACACCCGGTGGTTAAAAATAGACCCTCCCCTGTAACGGCGGTGGGGGCTGGAGCTGGGGGCCGGGGGCTGCAGGTTTTCCCTGTGGACTTTTGCAGCTTGGTTTGCAGGGAAACGGTGAAGTCGACTTTGGTTCCTTTGAACGTTTCAGATTTATTTGGATCCGGTGCGTCATATCTGGATTGACAAAAGTGAATTAAAAGATGTGAAACAAAATAGGGATGTTGTGAATAATTCATGAGCACCCCCCCCCACCCCCAGTATCCCCCTCCCTGTCCGTTTGCTTTTGAAGTTGAATCCTCTGTTTTATCTCACTGGGGACTTCTTTCTTTCTCCTTTGTCCTCCTCTTCCTTCTCTTTCATTTGGGACGTTGAATCCCCCCCCCTCCCAAAACCTGCGATTTGTTTATCTTGTGAAAAGTGGGTTTTGTCATTGTCTACTCTGACATCCTCCCCTGGGATTAGAACAGTACAACAGGAATTAGTCCTGACAGCAGAGAGGAGTGAAGACGAGGAAATGTTCCTGATATTTACCTTCTCTCTCTCTCCCTCTCCCTCCCTCTCTCTCTCCCTCACCCCCCCATCTGACTCCTTAGATCACACGTATCGGCCTGATTGTTCATAAAACCAAAGAGCAGGACTTCCAGGTCTTGGCCGGCTCAGCTGGGTTCCTCATGGCTGCATACTGCGTCGGTAAGAATCCTGAAACTCTGGAGTTTGTTTTTTTACGTCAGACTTTTTTGTCTTCCTGCCCACATTTACACGTGAGAGGTTGTTGATGTGAACACTGTGTGGACGTGGTGCTCTGGGCAGTCGGTCACAAGGTTCAAGTCTTAACAAGTATCACCTCCTCCCTCACCCCCCCCCCTCTCTCTCACATGAAGTTCTCTATACTCTCTCCATCTAATAAAAACCAAAAAAATATACAGTCGTTAAAAAAAAGATAAAAATACATTTACTAAAATATTGCTCATTAGGAATCATTTTTTAAAAATGTTTTTATTTCTAATAAATATGTTGCACAAAATATTCTAGTCCAAACCTAATCCCCTCCTCTTCCTCCTCCTCCTCCTCCTCCACCTTTTTCTCTGTCGAAGAATCGACGTATTTCTGGGTCACTTCCTGTGATTGTTTCAGATTTCGCTCTGACCCAGTCCAGCTCGTGTGTCACTTTTTTTTGCCCGATGTACAAAACATCATCTGGGTGTCGTGTTGCACAGGATACCAGGTCCAAAACTTGTAGATGGATTTTTTTCCATCTCCCTGCAGGCTTCGTAACATCTTCCCTTTAAATCAATTCCCTTAAAAAAAAAATGTAAACACTCCTTTATATACAACTTATTTTGGAGCTGTGGATTAAAGGTCCAGTCCAGTTTTTCACACGTGCCTGTGCTCGCGCTCGCTGCCCTGCGGCACAGCTTGACCATATTGTATTTTTAATCTCCGTAATCTCAGCGTCTTCTCCGTGATCCTGAGTTGGAATTCAGGCCGTGAAACAGAATCAGCAGAGCTGCTGGTGCACGACGGCCACGTACGGCCGACTGTAGGCTGGGATTAGGAGGAGGGAGACGTCAGCGTGTGGCCCAGGAAACGAATGAGTTTTGGTTTTTTTTTTTTGCTAAAAATACTATTGATCAGTGGTTACTTTGTCCTTGTGGGGACAGATTTTTGAGATAATTGAAGATTGAGTTTGGAGTTGGGATTAGAGTTGGGATTAAGAGAAGAATTAATTCTTATATATGTATGTATTTTTCAGGGTAAGGTTTTTTTGGGTTCATGTGAAATATTGAAAAAACTAATGTGTAGGGCATGTGTGTCAAACTCGAGGCCCGGGGGCCAGATGCGGCCCGCCAAGTATTTTTTATGGCCTGCGGGAGCAGAAGTATTTTATTGCCTTACAGTGTGTGTGTGTATGTATGTGTATATGTGTGTGTGAGATTGATATGATACAGTGCTGACATTGGGTATAAATATATTTTGACATCCAGACTCTCACCATCTCTCACGTTATACATCCCTGTGGTCGACCTGTCAATCACTGCCTCTCAGACGCACAACATAAAATCGAAAATCAAACTTTTTATTGGGCCATATCATTTTTAATGTACGTAATTTCCAATAAAACGAAATATTGAAAAAACTAATATGTAGGGCATGTGTGTCAAACTCGAGGCCCGTGGGCCAGATGCGGCCCGCCAAGTATTTTTTATGGCCTGCGGGAGCAGAAGTATTTTATTGCCTTACAGTGTGTGTGTGTATGTATGTGTATATGTGTGTGTGAGATTGATATGATACAGTGCTGACATTGGGTATAAATATATTTTGACATCCAGACTCTCACCATCTCTCACGTTATACATCCCTGTGGTCGACCTGTCAATCACTGCCTCTCAGACGCACAACATAAAATCGAAAATCAAACTTTTTATTTTTTCTTATCATTTTTAATGTACGTAATTTCCAATAAAAACACTTTATTTGTTAGATTTTTTTTTCCCCAACCTTTTTGAACACGTTGAGTTGTTCGTGGTGGCAGCTGTCATCTGTTGCGCAGCCAGGAGGTGGCGGCTGAAAACACGATCACCCGTCAGTCGGACGCTGTCGTCGTTGACAAGCCACCGAAACATAAACGAGAGTGAAAACCCACAGCCCGCGGCTCGTGTGTGTCTGTGCGACCACAACAACTCCAAGGCCACAGACGGAGACCCGTTCTCTGCTGTTCTTTTTTCTTGCTCCGTCAGACGGACAATAAGATGTTACGCTGAAAGGCCGTGGTGTCTTGTTGCCTGGGAAAATATCTGTCTGTCTGACGGCGTTAAATAAATAATAAATAAACATGTATTGACTGGTCTGTCAGTGGGGGGGGAGCAGGACGCAGGGAAGAGAAGAGAAATGAAAGCACGCTGACAGGAAATCAGCCGTCTGTGTGTTTGCTGCTGAAATGTCGGACTTTGATGGATGCTTTTATGGGAGGGAAATGACTGTGTTCACTTGGAGAAATCAGTTAGAAAACCAACAATCCTCCGACTGTTTCTGCTGCCGTTTGAACGTTGAGTTCTCAAACTGCTGCTGCTGCTGGAGGACGACGTGCATCTTCTCTAATCTCCAGAGCGAGTCAAGGGCTTCCCACACGCTGCCGTGATGCATGTTAATATTTTAGCGGACGTTTAAAATTCCAATCATATGTTTGTGCTGTATTGACTGCACTCCAGGGTCAGGACAATTAGAGGCAAAAATGACCTTCAAATACGTGAACATAACGTTGGAATTCCCATTACAGCTGTTTTCAGAGATACGTTTCCAGTTTGTATTCACGCACTCCACTCTTTGTCATGTAAAGCGTGTTGTTTTTGAAAGTACTTGTTGCCAAGATGGCGGTTAGTCAAAAAAGAAAATCTGCATTTTAGATTATGATGTGTACAAAGATATGTACCATTAATACCAATACCTCATTCTCTGTACAAAAAAAAATCACCCTAAATACAAGGAAGTTGTCGATTTTAACATTTGCTGCGATAATTGTGTTACATAAATATTTATATATTTATATTCATATTTATATAAGTCGCACTGGATTATAAGTCTCACCACTGCCCTCTAGCGGCTTTCAGGGTGAAAATAATAAACATGTCCATTTTCTCTGGTACAGGAGTAGTAGACACTGGTACACAAGCCTAGAGTGCCCTCTAGAGGCCATCAGGGTGAAAATAACCAAAAGTGAAATTAAATATTTTAATATATGTCGCAAACCCAGTCAAAGTGGTTGAAAAAAAGTGCGACTTATAGTCAGTAGATTTGAAATATATTACAGTAATATTTAAAAACCGAACACTTCAGAGAAGGACTGTCTGACCGAGCGTCCACTCCTGTGTTTTCAGGTGCAGTCGGTGGCGTGTGCGCGTTGGCTAACGTCCTGGGCCCTGAACTGTGTGAGTTGGAGCGTCTGTGTTTGTCCGGCAGCTGGGAGGAAGCCAGAGTCCTGCAGCAACGTCTCATTGAGCCCAACGCCGCCGTGAGTACCATCTGCCCCGACCACAAATCAAACAGTCGGTCAGTCAGATACCAGCGCCGTCGACCAATGACACGGCTTCTCCACGGCACGTCTCAACTGGACCTGGAACCTCGTTAATCTGTGAAATTAAAAACTCACAAATCTGTGTTTTTCCCACATCTGTCCAATCAGTGATAGTTTTGATTAGTCGTAGACTTGGTTTATTGACTAAATTGTAAGTTAGTTTCCTCAAACATGACACGTACTGTTGTTAGGGTTGTCCGATAATATCGGCCGATAGTAGCATAATTATGTAAAATCGGTAAGAATCGTTTCCGATAATGAAAACCCGATAACGTAATGCCTGATAGTGATTGTGACCTAAAGATTTTTTTGAAGTAAAAGTGAATTATTGTCATTGTGACACAGTACACCACGGCAACCAATGAAACGTGTCCTCGGTATTGGTTGATATCGGAAATGGAGATTATCGGCGTATTGGATATCAGCGAAAAAGACGTCCCTAACTGTCCCTAACTGTCCCTAACTGTCCCTAACTATGCTTAATTAATATGAATTTTATTATTTACTTTATTCATAAATTATTTTGACCTCCTCTGCCCGCCACACAATAACTCGGCAACCCCAAAAGGGGTTACGCCCCCTACTTTTGGACACCTCTGTGTGGGATGTGATGAGAACACAGTTCATTATTTTGCTCAGGTCTGTTAAACAAAAGTTTAACTCCTGAAACACCCATCACCAATTCACCTAAACCAACCTTCTCTGTCGTCAGGTGACCAGGGACTTGGGAGTTCCCGGTCTGAAACAGGCCATGGAGTGGTTTGGTTTCCACGGCGGCACCACGCGTTCCCCTCTGCAGCCGCTGACAGAGGCTGAGATCCGACAGCTGAGGCAGGACTTCAGCTCCAACGGCTGGCTCTGAGGTGACGGGGCAGGAGGAGGAGGAGGAGGGTGTGGATGTAGAGGATGAGATAAAGGAGTGGATTTAAGACAAAATCTTGAACTTAGCTCACGGTCAAACAAACAAAGTCAAACAATTTTTAATCAAAGAGGTTCAAACGCCACTTATCTTTGCGTTTAACACAACACTTTGCTGTTAAAAACAACATGATAATCAGAATATATTAATAATTACTTTTGTGTTTATTGTGATTTGACGCCTTTGAGCTCTGCAGTTTAATTAACATAAATAAATAATGTGCCTATGAGAAACGGCAATAAACAGTAGGAAGTGAACACACGTTACATGAGTAATTAAAAATAATGATTTTTTTTTTCTTTAAGACTCTTGAAATGACAGATTTTTTAAAAAATACTAATTAAGATCTAAGTGTGTCCGGAAAGTGTTGTCATCTGCCTGAACGTCAGGCGTGTACAATCGTTTCTTTCCGAAGTTCATAATAAATTACGTCACAGTTTCTACGGCATCTTTAGAGTCAGTTTCATATCGGTTCCAGTAGCAGAAATTAAGAAAATAAATATTTGATATGAATTTACTTTACCGTGCTGCAATTGTTCCACGCCCCCTACTTTGGGAACCACTGCTCTAAGGTAACAGCTCTGTTGTGTTTCTGTCCTGGTTTGATCCGTGTTTTATTTATTCTCACAACTTTGTTGAAGAAGTAAGTTCACAGAAAACAAAGGTTGAAGGACTCGGTTTTTTTTTCCGATGCCAAAAATACATTTTCTAAGTTTTACTGGTAATTTTTCAGACTTAAAATGTTTTTTATTCATTTCGGTTACATTTATTACTATATTTTCTTTTGTGAGGACGAAACAAACAAAACAAAAAAACTAATGACAGGCCACTACTTCTTCACCATCAGAGTTATTTTTGCTCATAAAGAATAGCGACACCGCGGCGCCGCCTGCTTCGCATCATCTTTCAAACGCAAAGACTTTGGTTCTTGTTCCCCACTGTGGGAACAGGAACTATCTGTGTTCCCACCGCAGGGACCTAGAACTAAATGGATGAACAGGGGCTGCATTTGGGCCCCAAAAATAATCTGAGCTCTGAGGGTAAAACTTTTGTGTAAGTGACCTATTTAGGTAAAGTTTGGGATTTTCTTCCTTCTTTTTTCCAGGGCAGCATTTTTTTAAATATAGTTTTCGCAAAAAGAACAATAGAGAACGAATGAAGTTAGTGGTAAATTGTAAATCTGAGTTTTGTCAGGTCAGTGCTTCAGCGGTCTCGTTGTCGAGGCTAAGAACTAAAGAGCAGAGGCATTATGGGACTTTTATTGAACCTGCATTACAAGAACCATTTCTTGGTACCATTAAGTTCTTTGGAAAAAGTTCCTTAAACTTGTTGTTTGTACTGCGAGGAAGATCAACACATGTTGGGTGTTTGAAATAGTTGCCAAGAAAATTATTCCAGTAGGGGGCGATGCTGAGCTTAGGCTTTATATTAGCTGTAATGGCAGTTTCTACCAAATGCACTCATACAGGAAGTCCTTTTTAATAATGTATCCACTTGAAAACTAGTTTGCGATAAGTCATGTGGCGCTATACGCAGAAGACGTTTGTTTGTGCTACAGTAGCTATCTTTCGTTTGTCGTTTCTTTTGAGAACTTTTCACCCCTTCATTATGGCTACCATAATGGCGTAAGTCAGACTCTTCCGCTGTTTTTATGTCTTAGATTATGATGTTACCGCTGTGTTAGCATAAGTGCGTACGTAGGTACTGATGTACATTAGCTGACTTACGGCGAATATCGAGTTATGTTACAACTTAGGAACGGAATTCTGACGGAAATTGGTCACGGTCTACACCAGGCGTGGCCAACCTGCGGCTCGGGGGCCACATGGGGCTCTTGCGTTCATGTCGAATTTTATGTTTGTTTCATGTTGCTTTTATTTGAGTCCTTGTGTCCTTCTTCACACTCTACTTCGTCCTAAAACGGCGCTCTGTGACATCATGAACCCCAGTTGGAGTCCCGTGGTTTTTAACAAGCTGCAGTCATTTAAAAAACATCTTTAGATGTTTCCACTTTGTGTCTTCAGATCGGTCTCATCTCAGTCAGAGCCAGAGCTGCAGGTCACACTCGCACAAAGTGGCAGGAAAAAAAGTTCCGTGGAGCTTTTTGATGTGTTAAAAGCTGAAATTAGTGCCGCAATTAAATCCTAACGAAGGAGCTTTTTTTTTTTTTTTTCATGTTGCTTTTATCTTAACTATGACTCCAATTAGCACCTTTTTTAGGAGATGTTTTTCAAAGTAACATACTGGAGCCTAAAGAACGGATGCCACACAGGAGGCTGCCAACGCAGGCTCTCATTACCAAACCCAGTGTTGAAGTCACACCTCGAAGACGCTGCCAGTTGTCCTATTTTTAACAACTTTTTAAAGACAATTACAGACGTCGGAGCTCCTAAATGTTCCCATGTACGCTGCAGTAAACCTCGGTAATTGTTGCACTTTTTAACATGGCGCTGAATGTCACATGTCACTGTCCCCGGCAGTGCAGCAGGTCAATATGTAATGTTTTGTTAACTGCTGTAGAGAACGATGTCGAACGATACGATGTACTGAGATTAATTTAGTGAAGGACGTGAGTTTTGCTAATTGAAGTTATTTTTGCTGTTTTTAAGTGAAGATTTTTTCCATCTTCTTCTGTTCAACAGTCACGGTCGTGGTCGCTTGGATTTTACTCTGGTTTCACTCTACTTTCAGACCGGGGAAAACTGCGGTCCGAGGGCCAGATGTGGCCCCTTTGGCATTTTAATCCGGCCCACCAAACTTGTTCATTATAATATTAATTTCTATTATTATTATTATACATTTCTGACTTTTTGCAATGCCCGCATTTTAGTAATAGATAAAATACATTTCTGACTTTTGCAATGCCTGCCACCAATAGATAAAAAAGGCTTTCAGTATTTTAGGCGTTACGCCCGACCTGTACATGTCATTTATCTTTACTCTGTCCTGATCGGCCCGTGTGTCAAAAAGTTTGTCCACACCTGATATACTTACTCCAAAGTTTTAGTTAAGGTTTTTTTTTTATATATTGAATTGATTTTCAATATGTTGAAGTCTGAAGTTCCCGCTTCTTTAGTTTCACCTTGTTTCATTGAAGGATGGAAGTTTAAGGTCAGGACCCGATGAATTATCTGAATCCACTGAATGTTTTGTGAGACCAAGAAGGAAAAAAGTCTTTTTAAAAGCCAGAGTCAGGAAGACGGTGATGGAGGCACGAGGCCCTGAACTCTCTGGAGTTTAAAGACTTCATCATCTTTGCATTTAGATTCAATTGGAAAAAATAAATGAAAATATATAAACACGGTGTATTTCAATCTACAAGCCTCTAAAAAATTCTTTAATTTCACATTAAGGCTTTATGTTCAAGGATGTCTGACGTCGTGAGTCAAATTGGTTTTATTCACTCGAGAATGAAATGGATTTTGGATTCCGATATTGTTGAAGCGTCTTTGAACTCCTGTTCTCCTCAGTTCTGTGCGTTCTTTAACGTTTTTGAAATGACACATGATTCAGATGTTTTGTCAAACCTTGTGACCTCAATACATCAATATCAGTCCTTTGTTGTTAACAGTTGTGTTTATACATTTATCAAGTAAAGATTTTTCTACTTTATTTATTTATTTATTATAAAAAAAAAAAAAATTCCGGTGCTGGTTGGGTTCCTTGTTTCCCCCAGTTGTAGTTTCTCTCAGCAGCCACAGGGAGGAGTTACGCCCCACCGTGACGTTGACTCTGCGTCAAGGGCATCCCTTTGATCTCTGTGATGTAGAGGGACCTGGACTCG